AGCGTTTACTAATATTCTACCTCGAATTTATTGCAGTGTATGGTAGAGCATATACATTAATTAGATTAATATTTAAATGAATTATGTACTTTGAATTTCGGGTATTTGGCATCCAGATACCTTAAGTTATTTTCAAATTTGAGATTCCCCTAATTACACCTTTGTTGTGAAATAGTTTAGTTTGGGTTTCCAGATGAATTTGCCAAAGTAACAAATGATTTCTTGTTCCTAAATATCGCCAAGCAAAACCCCTTTGAATTTATAATTATATATCCATACGAGGTACTCAGCTAGAGCCCTTAGAAGTCAAGGAATAATATCGCAAGGCCATGGTAAACTTTTTGCAATACACACAATGTGCCCATAGAACAAGTAATTTAACGTAAAAGCAAATCAAATAATTTATTTATATTATACTTATATGAAGTAAATTGTTGTTTTTGCAACAGAAGAGCCACAAACCAAGAGAAATAGTACCGAAAATATTTTACAGAATTTTTTACAATCAGAAACAGCAACAGCAACAACAACAAGAGAAATAAAAGTTAGCCATAAACAATAGTAAAATAAAGCAAAAATACAAACAGAGACAACAAACCAAAAAAATAGCAAAAGTCAAAACTCAAAACCACAAAACAAAAGAAAAAAAAAGAAAAGAAAAGATATATAAATAAACACAATAATAGTAACATTTACTAAAAACCCATTAAGAAAGAAACAAATAAGTAAAGAATTAAACAAAATATTTGACTAAGTGTTAAGTGAAATATGCAAACAAATATTTTTAAAACTTGCGGTCGCTTAAAGCATAAAAAAAAACTAAAATAAATAAGTTCAAAGAGAAAAGTCAAGAAAGAAATAAGTTCTACAGAATGAAACCGAGTATCCAAAATCAATAGAACGAACGGCAGAACCGAACACAATTTGTTATGTTTTGGCATTTATTTAAAGATGAACAGACAAACAGACCTAAAGATGATGATGATCCATATTATATGTTTTCAAGTGAATAGTACAGTTTGCAATTAATTATTATAAACGATTGACAGGGACTACCACATAATAACCATAGAAATACATAGCTGAGCAAACAGACAGAACAATAGCAACAAATTTTATTTAGGGTTCAGCTAAGAGTGCAAACAACTTACTTATTATGCATATAATTATTATTATACTGAACTGTAACTGTACATAAGCAAAATGCAGAATACAAAATACAAGTGCATACAAATACGATGTAAAGATACAAAGAATCCCAAAAAAAAAGATAACTGCAATAGTACCAAAGTAAGTAAATCAATTATTTATTATACCCATTCCGCCAAGATACCAAGTGCGTTGTATAAAATCAAATGAAAATACAAATACAAATACAAAATACAAATACAAAATACAAATAAAAATACATAGCTAAAATTTATGTTCTAAACTAAATGACAAACACACACACATACACACACACACACCCATACGAGTGTACACACTGAACACTCACGCAAAACCAGTTGAGAATCGTAAGAGTTTCATGAATTTCTCTCAGTTTTCAGTTGAACAATCGCAACATATCCAATTAAACATAAACCCAAATCCCTAACTTAAGTTTTGTCACAACATAGCAATTTTTTTTATCAGAAAGTGAGAAATAACAAGTGTTTAGTTTGTTTGTTGAGCAGTGTACGAAGAGATCAAAGCCAGAAATCAAACAAAGCAATAGTGATACCAGCTGTACAGGTGGGAAAAGGTGCACTTTAGCAGCCTGACCACCTGGTATAGTCGCCATAGCCTGATTACAATTAAAACAGAACAAAAACCAAAGTGAATAAGATTCAACTCAAACAATAAACCAATCGAATCTTCTGAAAAACCAACAAACTTAACGAGTTACATACAACAAATGCAACATATACCGCAAAACAGCAACCATAGTACAATAAACAATACATTTTTCTTATTGAGAGCAACTTTTATACAGCCAATCAACAATGCAAAGCAATAGACAGGAGTGCAAGAATTTACAGCAAACAGATTAATTAAAAACTAAATAATTCTAAAGTCCTTAAACAAAAATCAGTTGAAGCAAGTCAAAAAACGGGAAGTATGCAACTTAAATAGACAAGAGAACAGAAAGCGAAACTCAACAAGTATAAAAACTAAAAAGAAATGAAGAAAAAACATAAATAAACTATATACATATATTTTTTAATGAAGCAAAACTAACAATAGCTAAAAACGATTGTTAAACAATTTTTATATATGAATTTATATAATTTCTATTTAATTCATATGAAAGGCGAATTATACATATGTATAAAAAAAATATATAAAAAATCAAAAACCATAAAAATAAAAAGAAAAATATAAGAAAAACTTTTTTTTTATATTACAAGAGACAAAACCTTAAACAATCAACAAATATTAAATATCTCACTTTACTGGTAAAAAAAAAAAAACAACTCTAAATAATTGGTAAAATCAAAAATAAACCAAAAAAAAAAAACAACAAAAAATGCACATGAAAAGCAATAAAACTGGCTACAACAATTTATTTATTTCATTTGAACAATTTGTTATTATAATTCTCTTTGGTTTTGAATCTAAACCAATTTTTGTTTCCAATGTGAAGTTTTCCAATTCCTTTTTTGCACACAACATCAACAACAACAACAACAACAACTACAACAAGCAACAAAAAACATAGCGAACATTTCAAAACTAACTGGCAAAGCAAGTTTCGAACTCAAGTCTTAATAAATATTTGTGGCTATAATAAACGAAAAGTATGATAAACAATATGCATTTAGGAGATAATTTAAGCAACTTTTGAAAGAGAAAGCAAACATTTGTCAAAACAAAACCAAAGAAAAAAACATAAACACGCAAAAATGTCCCAAGATTGCGAGGATCGTCAAGGAAAAGTTTGGTCATTTTAGAAATATTAAAAGGCAGTTGTAACGATAATTTTAAAATCATAAACTTAGATAAAAAATGATGGCTTGACCTAAAGGCAAAGCAAAAAGAACAACCACTTTGATGCGATAAACGGTTGATGAACAAAAAGCAAGAAACAAACACATTTTCTCGGCCTATTCCAAAACTTTGAAACTCACGGCTAAAACATAAATGTAAAGGTAAAGTCCTCTCGGCAACTATAAAATTCAAAAACATATGTATTGAGCATTCATGGCAACTACAATTTACATTAAATTACATTTTCGGAGCAAATAAAACAAAATTTACATTTAAGCCAAATGTTTAAGCATCATTTTTTAAAAGGTAAAATGCAAAAAAAAAGAGTTACAAAAATATGAAAAAAAAAAATTAAAATAACGCGGAAACAAAAAAAATTCAGCAACAATTAAGTAATACTAAAATAAATACTTTAGGTATTAAAATTAAAATTAAAACTATTACTAAATTATAGTAAGCGCGAAAACAAAAAACGATAATATTACAAATTTATGAATTTTTGACCGGAAATGGGGGAAAAATGGAAAATTTGAAAGCAAGCAAGAAAACATCATTACACAACACAAAAGTAAATAAGTATATACTATATAAAATCTCAAAAAATACAACGGAAATATACTAAAAACAAAACAAAAAAAACCAAAAAAAAAAAAAAAAAAACGGAAATTCAAAATTTTAATTGTTGTAAGCAAAAACCAAAAAACAAAAGCTATATATGAGCATATAATCAGCACACTTCTTAAATAACAACACATTAACATAAATGCCCACACTGATGAAAATTCAACTTATCAAACCAGAACCAACTACCCACACACACACACACACACACACCCATAAACACACACCCACAAACAAACACTGCAAATTTTGACCACCTAAAAAAGACTTAAGAACACGAAACACTCAAGACCCACAAGCCACAAGACACGCCCACAACTCTTTCCATTGGTTTAGATTTTAAGCATAATTTTAATAATGTAATCGTCAGCCAAAGTAAAAAACAACAACAACAACAACAACAATTTCCAGGCAGTCAACAATTGTCCAAAATTACTCCAGCATACGATTTTAAGGCAAAAAAAAACATAACAAAAAAAAACAAACAAAAAAAAACACACACACAAAAACAAAAGCAAGGCAAAAGTAAAATATTTAAGCGAGTATAACATATGCAAAACGTCGTCTAGTTTAATGTCGTCAAATTTTACTTTTTGTAATAATTCTTAATATTAAAGACATATATATTATATAACATGGCAAAAGTATTGTAAACGTCTAATCGACCCACTAATTTCAAAAGAAAAGTAATGAAAAAAAAGCTAAGCAAGAAATGCAACGGCATGTGCAACCAAAAAAATATATAAAATTAAAAATTCAAATGGAACTTCAATGAATTTCTGGCATCCAAAATAAACAAAAATAGAAACTACTTAAATTACGAAAATAAAAACTTATATTATTATACAAGAACATGGAAAATGAAATAAATTGAATCTTGTAATATAAAAAAAAAAAAAAAACAGACTGGAAACGTGTTCATTTGTTGACCCTAAAGCGAGACACAAGTTTTGTAAAATTATACGAGAGTTCCTGAAAATCTACATTGGCTCAGGTGCGACTTTATAACGGAATACGTGCATTTTCAGACGTGTCCTGTGTCTCGAGCTGGACCGTGGATTAATCAAAGACTGATATCGGAAGTAAATCAAAAACATCATCATAGCTTGAGTAAATATACCAAACATAATTTCTATACAAGGTTCTATTGTGAGAAGTCAGGTGAGCTATGTATACTATATACTAATGCAAATTAATCAAAAACAAAATCTCTTACTCGACAAACGAAAGAACGAAGTGTGTGTGGATACATGTAGGTGCTTTGAACTCAACAATACAGCTGTGGAGCTAGCTGTGAAGCATTAGCTCGGATTGTGGCCAGCTGGCTTCACAGCTATGTTGTAGGGTTCCCAGCTTGGTTCTTTATTGATAATTTGGCCACTTGACTTGTCGATTGATAGATTGGGCTACTAGCAGTGATTATAGGCAGAGCCGTATGTGGTTCGCATGCGCAGCGAGTCCTCATATTGCCTTTGGCACTTGAAATGCTTCGCATAGTCGTGGGTCTTTGTGCGATTGCCGAAGCACTGCAGCATGTCCACATTCTGCTGATGCTCGGGTATGCCGCGCTCCGGCTGCGCCTTCATAGCGCGCAGCTCCTCACGTAACCTGGGCAGCAGGTCGAAGACCAATGTGTTGGTAGTTGTATAATTGTCCTTCAGTTCCGTAGTGTCCATCAGCTTAACATTCGATGTGGTGCCTGCGTAAAAGTTGCGAACACGCGTGACATGTTTCTCCTTGAAATATTGCTTGCAATCTCCGCCCGAAAAGGCTGCATTGGTGTAGGTATCCTGACTGAGACTGCGGAGTTTCTCGCATTGATCGGATGGACTCAGTCCTGGCAAAATGCCGCTGGTCTTTTCATCGAACGCATAGCGACGATCGACCCAGTTGCCAATTAGCACTTTCTTGCTATACGGCGGCACAACTATATTATCCATTAGGAACTAATCCAAAAGCTAACCCCCAAAGAAAGAACGAAAACAATAACTACGAAAACACAACGAAAAAAAAAAAGTCTGTAAATTGTTTCGAAAACACAACGCTCTGAAAGTAACACAAAACAAATGCTTCAAAACATGCTCAAAATGACTAGATTGCTTTGAGTTGAACATTTGATTCCACATTTGCTGCCTGAATCAGGATTTAATCTTCAAAAGTCTTTTTCCAACCATCAAGCTTTGCACTCGACATAATTTATTCGCAACCGGTTTCCAATTCGGGGTCTAGTTTACAATTTTATATAAAAAAATGAAACCCAGTCGCATATTATGTCAGTCTGTCAATCATATCTTTCATTTTGGCACTTTTCACTGGGCTGGCATATCTTTCCGTGAAGTGGAGCTTGTAGTGTGTGTCCACCGAGGATGATTCCTTGCAAATCGAGCGCTTGATTGAGCTGTGACTGCCAAACGAATCGAGGCTGTCCAGTTTCCGGTCATGCAGTGTCTTCTTGTGGGCATCCTGTTCGGACATTTGCTTTATTGCAAGCTCACGTTCCTCCTTCAGTATCTTGGGCCACAACTCGTACACCAAATGATTCAGTGACATATAGTTGTTTTTATATTTCTCGGCATCCAAGTACTTATTGCTGGAGCGCTGCGACATAAAATTGCTGTATTTGTTCAACTTCGACTCGATGTAGATGCGTGACGCTTCCTTTTGCTCTATGCCCTCCACTGAATAGGCCTCCTGGCTAGTTGTCACATGCCGCTCACATCCCTTTTGCTCCACGCTCTCGTCCAAGATGCACGGCACTATGGCCGTGCTGCTCTGTGGAATATTGACATAGCGCGCCTGGAACCAGTTGCCGGTTAAAACGTGGCTGCTGTAGATTGGCTTTGTTTCTATATAGCTGTAACGGGAATCCTTGTTGGCATCATCCTCCTCTTCCATCATCTTATACGCAAAATCAAAAAATTATATGTGTAAAAATGTAAAACATGAAAAGATGTATAAAAACTAAATCACACAACACTATAAATATTACTATAAAGTAAACTATCTTTTGGCCACCTTTGATATATATTTTGAGCATTCGTCAATACATATCGCCTTTTAGTTGTGCAAATAAAGCACCATTAATTGCTGCTGGAATGGTGCGTCTGATAATCGATCGGAGGTAAAATTCTACGTTTTTAAGCTTAATAAAATATACATAAGCCGCAGCTAATATGTACCCTTTTCAGACTCCCCCGAGTCAGCAGCTCCCAATAAGAGCATGTTAATATTGACTTTACTGTTGAATTCTGAGTGACTTGGTCAAACTAACAGAATGTTAATCGTGAGTGACTTAAGCGAACCGGCGCCCAGAAAATAAGCAAGCGAGCAAGATCAGAGTGCGAGCGCTGCGCCACACGGCTTGGCATACACACCCACACAAACACGTGTTTGCGCAAAGATGAGCCAAAGGGAGAGATAAGCAGCCACCTGTTTGTGTGGCTGTTCGCTGTCATTCATCTACTTGCGCTCACGCGCTCACGATGCTTTTCGGCGCTGATCGCTGATTGGTCCAATCAATAATGGATGTTCTCGTCTGCTCGTTTGCGTGCTCTATTTTCTGAGCGCCGTTCTTTTGTGCGCTGTGGTGGACCTGCGCAACTTTATTCTGAGTTAGTGTGCCCGCTTAATTTCATATGGTGTGTTGTTATGAGTGATAGTCTATTAAGCTTTTTTTTTTTGCTAGTAATGAAAGGTGAATTCGGACAGACCAAAACTATTAATTTATTTTTTATTTAATACAATATTTAAATATTTATATATAGAAATCGGTGTACAGAAAATTTAAATGTCTTGTTTTGAGCAATTAGGAGCCTGCCCTAGCAGACGTATACACATATGCATTATCCAATTTTATATTTGTATTGCCTTGCCGATTTTCAATACTTTCACGAAATCTTAAATTGTACGTATTTTAAATTTATACAATTTTTATTTTGTATTTCTTAGCAAAATTTGCCACGACTATGGATTTAATATAATCAGCAATTTATCGCTCTCCATGGTACCTAGTTGACCTATATATCCTTGGCTATTCGATATCAAGGATATAGTCCCAGCGAACCTACAGGACAGAGCTCTCGCAAAAAACGCAAGAACATGGTCCAAAAATATGTATGCTTCTTTCTACAGCCGCCCCCAACATCAGCCCAGCCCCCTGTATGATTTCTAGTTGACTAGCATATCCTTGGTATACCATACCATCGATATAGTCCTTGGAAACCTAAAGGATCAGAAATGGTCCAAAAACATGTATGCTTTTTCTTTCAGGAGCCCTTTTACATTAGCTGCAGCTGCAGCTGTTGTGTACAGCCACCTTACAGTACTCATTTTACAAGATCTGTAACTTAAAAGTACTCAATTTATTTGAGTTACATTTCTGCCCCTTAAGGCTATGCAACGAAAATTTTTATTCGAAAAATTTTATTCATCGACCTTCTGGGCATTTCTGTTCGCCTGGCACTTCAGTGAAATTTTAGTGCAAATTTGGCCCGGCGACGAGGGTGCCCCTTTTTACTACGTCATTTTTCGGTCGCAAAAATAGTATTTGTCGACCTTCTGGGCATTTCTGTTCGCCTGGTACTTTCGTGAAATTTTAATGCAAATTTGGTGCCCAGCCGGCGGCCAGGGCGCCCCGTGCGGGTATGCAATGATTTTTTTTCGGCAGCTAAAAATATTTTTTATCGACCTTCTGGGCATTTCTGTTCGCCTGGTACTTTGGCAGATTTTGAGAAAAATCTCGGCAGCCAGCGGTTGCCAATAGACGCCCCTCACGGGTATGCAAAAGACCGTTGATTTTTGAATTTTTAAATAAAAAAACAGGAAATAATTTAAAATAATTGGTTTATTCATGTTTAAATTTATAAAATTGCTGTTTTTATTATAATTTTTTTATTATTTCTCTTAAAATTATAAAAAACAAGCAAAACTTGGAATTGTAGCTTATTTGAACGTAAAATAGCTATATCTGGCCTAATTAAAGTCCGATCCTTGAAAAAATTGCTTTGTTACTTGTGGAGGTCCTTGGAATTAATTATGGTCCTTAATTTGTTAATCTGAAAATTTAAAAACACATTTAAATTAAACAAGGCAAAAAATATATAAAAGCATTTTATGTAAAGAAAAAAGGACATAACTCGGTCATATCCTTGCAGATTTTCAAAGGACATGCTGCGTTAGGATCGTATAGACCCACTGCATCGATCTGCATCAAAAAAATATGGGGTCATCTAAGAATCATAGGACGTTCCAAAACGACAGAGCTCCAGCGCCAGCGGTTGCCAATGGAGATATGACGTTCCAAAACGACATAACTCCAGCGCCAGCGGTTGCCAATGGATTTCTAAAAACCGTTGATTTTTGAATTTTTAAATAAAAAACCAGGAGTTTCTCTTTTTATTTAAAATAATTGATTTATTTATGTTTGCATTTATAAAACTTCTGTTTTTTATGCTAATTTTCTTAATTATGTCTCTTAAAATTATACAAAACGTGCATAAATTATAAATTTCGCCTATTTTAACTTAAAATATCCATATCTGGCATAATTAAAGTCCGATCTTGACAAAATTTGCGTTGGTACTCGTAGAGGTCCTTGGAATTAATTGTGGTCCTTAATTTTTCAATCTGAAAAGATAAAAACACATTTAAATTAAACAAGGCAAAAAATATATAAAATAATTCTATGAAGAGAAAAATGGACATAACTCGGTCAAATCCTTGCAGGTTTTCAAAGGACATGCTGCGTTAGGATCGTATAGACCCACTGCATCGATCTGCATCAAAAAAATATGGGGTCATCTAAGAATCATAGGACTTGTATTTTGACTTGTAAAATTTCAGTCGCGGAGCGCATGGAAATGTGCTGAAAACACATATCCTTGAATATCTCCCAAACTACAAGGATGATCCTAATGAAATTTGGCCAGGTGGTAGTCCTATTTAATACAATTATTTTGACATATGACTCGCCAGGATACGCAAGGATACGGCCAGGTTATAGCCTATTTTTTGTTTACAAAATTGTCCTTAAAACTTTTTTGTCTGAAGGACTTTCGTCCTTTGGGTTGTAAATTCTTAAATGGGAGGGTCAGAAGTATCTACTGGCCAAAGGACATCCCGATAGTCCTTCAAATGGCGAAGTTAGCCCGGATATTTTCGATTTTGGCCAATTTTGTGACTAAACCCCTAGGATAAATTTGGGTGAAATTTTTTGTCGAATTCTCAAAATCCTTGAATGCCAATCGATAGTCTTGCTCCCCACGAGTTCAAAACGGTATATCCTTCCGATATCCTTAAGGATTTGACCGAGTTATGGCTATTTAAAAAATGTCCTTTTTCGATAATTGGGCATATCCAGGAAACGACTAGGACGATTTTGTTGTCCTTTGGCCAGTTTATAGTCCTTGTTCATACAAGTTGTTTGACACAGGACCTGTCAGGATATGCAAGGATACGGCCGAGTTATGGCTTTGTTAATTTACAAAACAATTGTAGTCATATCTAGGCAGTCTGAAGGACTTTCGTCCTTTTTATTATATATTCTGAATCGGGAGGATGCGGACTATCGGCTGGCTAAAGGACATCACGAATCGCAAGGATATGGCCGATCTACAGCTCTCTTTCCTTACAGGCAAGCATCTCTTTTACTCAGCTCCTTAAAGGAATTTCGTCCTTTTTCTTACATATACTAAGCTGGTAAGGCAAGGACTGCATGAAGGCCAAAGGACTACACGATTGTGCTTAAAATGTTCAATTTACGGCCGTTTTGGTTATGAATGTCCTTTTTATATATATAGCCATATCTTGAAAGCCACAACGATTTTGACATGCTTTGCAAAGGACTCTGGTCTTTAAAAATTGCTTGCTACAGGTACCGTCAGGATCAAAAATATTTAGCTGAGCTTTGGCTCACTTTTTGTACGAACTAATATCTATTTGT